CCCCTCTGGCCCACCAAATGTGTCCATGGGGTACCAGGCCAAGGAATGCCCACACTCTGAATGGACAGCCAGTAATCACGAGCTTTGAATTGATTCTCGGCACATAATACATTGCGAAGAGTCTGCTAAACTCCCTGCATCAGGAATCCCAGGAGACTGAGAGCAGGTCACCCTCGGAGGCATGAAGTAGCTTTATTTAATCACTTTTCTACCGGAGTGTGCACACCTGCAGAGGTTAACATTGTCATGAACCAGGAATGATCACTGTTGGCACATTTGAAATAATAATAATTACTAATAATAATTATTTACTTTTTTGAGACAGAGTCTTGCTTTGTTGCCCAGGCTAGAGTGAGTGCCGTGGCGTCAGCCTCGCTCACAGCAACCTCAAACTCCTGAGCTCAAGAGATCCTCCTGCCTCAGCCTCCCGAGTAGCTGGGACCACAGCTACCATGCCCGGCTAATTTTTTCTATATATATTAGTTGGCCAATTAATTTCTTTCTATTTATAGTAGAGACGGGGTCTCACCCTTGCTCAGGCTGGTTTCGAACACCTGACCTTGAGCAATTTGCCCACCCGGCCTCCCAGAGTGCTATAATAATTATTAATAATAAATTACACCAGTATTACCCAGGAAATTAGCATGCCTTCATTGGTCAGATTCCTTCCACTCTCTGGTTCACCATTGCTAATTCTAGGTTATTTCTCTTCGTTCCTGGCCCATCCTTAGCCCCTTTGACAAAAGTCTCTGGAAAACTACTGAACAATATACATCAACAATACAGAAATTCTAAAGTCTAAAATATTGCTTTGTCACTTTTTTGTGTTGATGTAATTTACCTCCTCAACTAGATCATAGGCTCATAGAAAACATGGGTTCTGTGTTATATTGTGTCCCTTGTCTGCTGTGTCTGAATGAATAGCCAGGATCCAGAATCCCATGTCCCCTGCCAATGTCTGCACGGTTCCGCACACATATATGTGCGTGTGTGTGTGTGTGTGTGTGTGTGTGTATACATATATATGGCATATTATGCAGGGAACAGCTCAGGAAAATGTGCTCCTGACTTTTGGCCCTTCTCATTTTCCCCTCCAGGAACATATCTATTTCTTCCTTCAAGGTCCAGCTCTCAACTCTGCCTCTAGGAAGCCTTACTCGGAATGATCAGCTATTTAAATTCTACTTTATTTTATCCTTGTGTATCACAGAGAACCTGCTGATGGTCTATAGTTACACAATTCTTTTTTTTTTTTTTAACATTTATTTATATAAAGGGAGGAGTGAAGAGGCGGTTTCAATTTCCTTTTTTTTTTTTTTTTTTCTTTTGAGACAGAGTCTTGCTCTGTCTCCCTGGGTAGAGCGCAGTGGTGTCATCACAGCTCACTGCAGCCTCAAACTCCCAGGCCCAAGTAATCCTCCTGTCTCAGCCTCCCAAGTAGCCAGGACCACAGACACATGCCACAACACCTGGCTAATTTTTCTTCAATTTTTAGTAAAGATGAGGTCTCACTCCTGCCCAGGCCAGTCTCAAACTCCCAACCTCAAGCTATCCTCCCACCTTAGCCTCCCAGAGTGCTAGGATTACATGCACGAGCCACTGTGCCCCACACAATTCTTCTCTTGGAAATAATTTATCATCTCCACCTTTCATGATTACTCATTCAACTTTGGGGCTTAATCTTCTAATACCTTTACCCTCTCTACTGCACTTTTACAATGTTCCACATACCAGAAATGCTTGTTTTGTTTCCTCCTGAATAAAACAAGTTATGAATAATCCATTTGAAAGTTTAAACAACATTCTTTAAAGCACAGTGATTCATGCAACCCGGCACTACCACAGACTAGTAAAACACAATCCCATACATTTCTTCAATTTGTCACTCCTTTCCGTGGCCAGTCTCATGGCTCTTGACGGAGGCCTTTATTTCTCATCCACACTATTGTAATACTTCTTGGACCTACAGTCTTGCTGTCTCCATACATTGCTGCCCAAGAGAGTTTTTGAAAACCCAGAGTGATTCTGCTTAAAACATTTCATTTACTCTCCATCATTTACTTAAGGAAGGATTCCTCAAACTTTAAACTTTTACCAGCTTTACGAGTTTTGACATATCCACATACCAACTATACTCTTGGGTATTTAATATACTTCTTTACACGAAATCGCATTTTTAACTTAAGTAAATTTGACATTGTCCTAATCGATACTATAAGTGAAATGCCAATTTTCATGGGCAGCTATTTCTTCTGTATTAAATTAATATATAACTATTAAATATTAAGATGAAAACATTCTTCCATGTACTGCTTAAAAGCAATGGGGCATAGATGTCTTTGTGGTAGGCACAGACCTGCAGAACAGAAAGTCAGCCCTTTGTCATGACATAATCTGGTCTTCACTGTCTTTTTCATCTGGCTTTTGGTCCCTTTCTCAGCTGTATTCCCAGCTCTCCTCCACCCACTGCAATTCTCCAACCTCACCATGATGTTTTCTGGCTCTGTGTGTGGTATTTCTTCTATCCTCTTCCCCAAGCCATCTCCTCTCATCTTTCCACATGGATGGAGGGGGATCTTTACACTTCCTTCTTGCCATCAACACAACACTCACTACTCCCTTTCCTTGCCTTAAACAGACATTTAGTCAACATGTACCCTGAAAACTCTAAGGGAAAAACTGATACAGACTGAAATGTAGTGAGTCTCCTGAGTAGCTCATCCACCTGGGTTGTCTTCACTTTTCACTGTATTTGAACAGGCTATTTTACAGTGAAGTTTAGAGAACTGACTACAATGCAAATAATTCTTGTTTATTAAGTACATTCTTTCATGTGAGGGTTTAATTGAATTCCATCCTCCACTGTGGAAGAAGCCAGTGTTGTGTCTATGAAGCAAATTCATTTCAGTGAGCCTACCTGTTTACCTGGTCTTTAGATTCTCCTCTGAAGTGGTTGTAACACATTCCTGATTGTTACTCTAACGGTACACATTTGACACAGAGCCTGGCACAAGGTAGGCACCCAAGGAATACACGTTAATGATTGAATAAATGAATTTAGACAAGTAAATATAGTCTCTTCGTTATGGTCAGTATCAAGTACCCAGGTCTAGATGATTCACCACGAAGGAAGGGTGTGGAATACTGGTGTGACGCTGAGCTGCTATTGCAAAGTTGAAATCGAAATGAGGAAATTTCCATGATCCTTTGGGAGGTGACTGCAATAATGGGCTGCAGGGAATGTGCTGGGTCCTATGTCTAAGTGTGGCCTGAATGGCCCCAACACAGGCTGAACCACAGAGGTCATGAAGAGTGCTGGATATGCAATAAGGGATGGGAGACAACACATGCCATTGAACTCTGGCTTCCTTTCTCTCCATTGCATATAGATGCAAGCACCTGCAAATTTTCTCCTTCCGTGGGTCTTTTAAAATCTATTCACCTATGAAATAATATGTTGTCCTAGCATTTTTTAGTTAGAGCATTTTTTAGTCAGAGTATCATTTATAAATTGTGTAAAGGGGGAAAAAACCCTATGAGTCAGTTTCCAGGTCTATGAGTGTTTTGAAGATTACATCAGTGGAGTTCCATGAAATGAAACCACAAGCTTCCTACAGATTGTCTGGATTCACAGAGATCTATATAACTTTTAATTAATCAGGAAGAACTCCTAAAGATATTATCTGTAGACATGTATGAACTTTTAAGGTGCATTTAAAAAACAAATCTCCACCCTCAATTTTTCTCGTATCTTTATGTGAACACAATGGCTGATACAGAAAAGGAAGCTGAATTACTGTTTATTACATTGTTCCCAAAATTAGTGTGGCAATTTTGAGAGTACTAATATAAAATCCTTCTCCCTGGCACTGTATAATACTATTAGGTACTATTATTTCCAACTTTTTACAGATGTGGAAATTGGCACTCAGAGAGGTTGAGTAACTTGCCTAAGGTCACACTACTAATAAGTAGCAGCATAAAGTTACAAATTCAGGGCTAACCCTAAAGGTCACATTCCACTACATTACCTTATACTCAGAAGAGAACCACAGGAGTGAAATTATTTAACAGAAACATTAACATTTGATGGAGAGGAGAAAACGGCCAGTCAAAAAAATGTAATGTTAGTTCAGGGTAGAGGATGGAGGGTAGTGGGTAGGGTGACTGGGTAGATTATAAAATTGCTAGGTGGGGATGAAATGAGGAATGAACTCTCTTGGGAAGCACCAGGAAGGGGAGGGAAAGGGAGTGTCAATACAGCATCTGACTGAACTACACTGGGTAAGGAAGCACCTGACCAAATTGGGATGGATACTCTCCTGGTAAATAACAAGGTACCCATTTTAACCTATACACACGTATGAGAAGCTGCATATGCAACGCCTTGAACATGGCAGACTTTTCTAAGAAGTCTATGTTTAAAAGAAGTCTTCTGAAGCTAAAGTAAAAGGTAGGGTTCCAATAAAGACTAGAAGACTTGATTTTCATAATTGGCACATGCAGGTGATAGACTCTTAGAAAATATTTGTTCAATGACTGAGAACAAAATAAGAAAGCACTAGAAGTGATTGGAAAAGACTTGCCATGCCAACATTTATATGTGTAAGGGTAATATCATTTATTGAGTACCTACTATGTGCCACTCATTAAGTGCTTCATATACATCCACTCCTTTAATTTTGGCAACAACCTACATAAACCATATTTGCAGTCTCGTTTTAACAGAGGAGGCAAAGAAATTAACGTATTCAAGCTCATAAAACTTGAATCCAGCAGATTTTTCTGGATCCAAATGTTATGTGCTTAGCAAATACAATGCATTCTGAACTCTGACCTTATACTGGAATGAAAAAGTTTGGTGACTGTGCTAGAATGTTGTATGGATCACCTATCTTACCGGTACCCGAATTATCCCTACCCAAAATCCTGCTGCCTTCAGTGATGGAAAAGCTAATGGCAACAGAAATTCGGCCAGGAAGCTACTGGTTGATAACACTTCATAAATTGCTTGCTTTTGTCCCAAACTAAGCTATAGTTTTCAATGGGACCATGGCCTTGGAAATTGGTAAGACTGGGAACAAGTGCTCAGGTGCAGTCTTTGTCTATTTCTTCATCTATTCTGGATCATTCCAGGGAAGGGCATTCTCTATAAAGTTGCCTGCTTAGATGATTGTGGGTGGCAGTCTGACCCAGAGGAAACCAGACGATTCCTGCTAAACATCATCTTCAAGTCCCGCTTAGCCTTAAAAAAATACACCACAGGCCGGGCGTGGTGGCTCACGCCTGTAATCCTAGCACTCTGGGAGGCCCAGGCAGGCGGATTGCTAGAGGTCAGGAGTTCATAACCAGCCTGAGCAAGACCCCGTCTCTACTAAAAATAGAAATTAATTGACCAACTAAAAATGTATATACAAAAAATTAGCTGGCATGGTGGCGCATGCCTGTAGTCCCAGTACTCGGGGAGGTCTGAGGCAGCAGGATCACTTGAGCCCAGGAGTTTGAGGTTGCTGTGAGCTAGGCTGACGCCACGGCACTCACTCTAGCCTGGGCAACAAAGTGAGACTCTGTCTCAAAAAAAAAAAAATACACCACAGCTCAGTTTTTAAAAGAATATACACTTTTTTAAGTCTAGGCAGAGACCTTGGCCGATTCCAACGTAAGTATCTGGATCTCCCGCATTACTTCCCTTGGCAGTCCATGCATATCTAACCCTACAAGGAGGAGCGCTGGCGGTGTGACCCGACACTCGCAAGTGCCAGCGACAGCGGAGCGCGCCCCGGGACAAGCGGGCGGGGGCCGGCGACCGAGACCGCGCGCTCCCCTCGCTGGCGTGATGCAAGCCTCCTCCCACAGTCCCGGGAAGCCCCGACGCCGCAGGCTTCCTCGCCGTGGAGGAGCAGCCGGGCGTAGTTCCTCCACCGCTTCCTCCTCCAGCTGCACCGCGTCCCTCCCCGCTCGACAGGCCCCCACCGCGCGAGTTTGAAGCGCGCGCCACGGCGAGCCCGGAGGCGGCGCAGGGGAGGGAGGGAGGCGCGCGGCCGCACGCACGCACGCGCGCAGCGGGCCCCGCCCCCAGCGCGGCTGGCGCGGCCGGCCGGCGAGACTCCGGCTGCAAACCCGTCTCGGCGGGGCGGGGAGCCGAGCTTCCTTCTCTGAGGGCCGCGGGGCGCCGCCCGACTTGTCCTTCCGCCCCGGCCTCCGCAGCTGGTGGGCGAGCGAGGGGGCGAGCGGAAGACGCGGCGTGGCCGAGGTCCGCGACGCGGGCGGCTGGAGCAGCGGCGGTCGGGGGTGGTCGGCGCGCGCCATGTCGCTGTGGGGGGAGCCGCTGCAGGGCCCGCCGTCCCTGGCCTCGCAGCCCCCTCCGGCCGGCGCGACCCTCAACCGCCTGCGGGAGCCGCTGCTGCGGAGGCTCAGCGAGAGCTTGGACCGGGCGCCCGAGGGCCGGGGCTGGCGGAGGCTGGCGGAGCTGGCGGGGAGCCGGGGGCGCCTCCGGCTCAGGTGAGCGCGGGCGCCGGGGCGCGAGGGGCGCGGCCGGAGGGCTGGACGCCCGCGGTGGGGAGGGGCGCCGAGGCCGCGCGAGACGGGGAGAGGCAGCCGGTGTGGATGAGGGAGGGCGGCGGGGACAGCTTCAGGCACCTTCCAGAGAGCCTAAAGGGGACCCAGCAGAGTCCTGGGAATGCGAGGGTCCGAGGAGGGCTCGGGAAGGGAGAAGGCAGAAATGGCAGGGCGGCTGCTTCACACCCTTTTCCCACCCGCCGCCCCTTGGGCTGAGAGAGAAGTCGAGGTTGACCCCAGAGGGTAGAGCGAGAAGGAGAGCTATCTGGAGACCGTCGTGCTAGGGCAGGAATTCCAGAGGACCGAAAACGCGAGAGAAAGGCTGTGGACACAACCCTGGAAGACCCAAGGAAGGTTGGGAGGAAGCGCAGGTGAAGAGGATGAAAGCAAAGGGTTGGGGGCAGGAACGCTTGAAGGTTTTGAAGGATGGTGGGAAAGGCTGAAACTGAACTCATCATCTTCCTCCGTCAAGCCGAGTTACCAAGTTCTCTTCCTGACTTCACCATGAACATAAAACTCTTAAGTTTTGTATTTTCATATTTTCCTTACCAGGCTTGGAAACCACATTCTTAGCGATTCTGGAAGTTATTGGTCTCAGGACTTTTTACATTCTTAAGAATTATTGAGGACCCCCGAGAGCTCTTATATGGGTTATGTATATTACATACATGTAAAATACACTGATATTTCCCACATTTGACATTAAAACCAAGAAATTTTCAAAATATTTGCTTTAAAAGAACAACCCATAACGTGGTAATAGAAATAATACTTTTGTGGAAAAACAAATGTTCCAAAATAAAACAAAAAAATTGGAAAAGTGACATTGGCTTGCATTTTGAGCATCTCTAACGTCTTGGCTTAATCTCAGAACTAGATTCTTTTATGTGCTTCTGCTTTCAGTCTGTTGCAATATCACAGGTCAGGGAACACTAAACTCCATTGTATGCTCCTGGGAGAATGAATGAATGAATGAAAGAGGTAAATAAGGTCTTGGTATGATTATTGTGGAAATTTGTTTTGACTTTGTGGACCCCCTGAAAGGGTCTCAGGAACAGCACTAGGCTTCCCAGAACCACACTTAGAACCATTAACTCTATACCATTATTATGATTTGGGTTTGTCTTTGAACCCCGTAGCAGTTTTTTAAACTTCTCAAGTGACTTAAGTTTGTCTTGTACTGTAATTGTTTGTGCAGATGTTTATAGACTCCTTAAGAACAGGACCATCTCTTAATATTCTTTGTTAAGGGTAGAACCTATCTTAGAGGACAAATGCTTGATGAATTGAAAGGGAAGACATTCACTCAAAATTATATTTAGTAAGTGCTTCTTATTTGCTAGAAGTTCCATAAGATAAAAAGTTAACAAATATTTAGCTTCTGTTTATAAGGGCTTATCTAGTAATGGGCTATTATTTGGGGAGATTTACAAATAACAAATGAAGTGTGGATGACCAGAATAATGGATGTTTCTCATTCATTGAGCACATAGCATATACTAGGCATTGTACTGAATGTTTACATATATTATATACTTTAACACTCTCAACAACCCTTAGTTTCAGAGTTTGGGGTTGAAGCAAAGAGAATAATGATTTGGGATTATTGTTTATACAGAAGAGTAATGATGTGAGGAAGGAATCAAGAAGTGGTAAACTAACAAAGTCAAGCAGACATGACATAATTTTTTCTTTTCTAGGAAAAACATTGGGCTTTTGGCTGTGTAGAGGAGATCCAAAGTATTATTCTAGGTCCATAAATTTCTGAATTTCTAGACTTACAGTGTAAAAAGTTGTCTTCTTTGGGGGCAGATCTCCAGAGTATTGTGGTGGTAACTAGTACTCTAATTAGGGAAAGCTCCGGGCTTCCTGAAGAGAGCCTGATACCGAGGACTTCTACTTAAAGGAGAGAAGAAAGTCAGTAAGGACCTGCCAGGGAAGAAGCCTGGCTGGTGGAGTCTTAAAGTAGTGGCTACCTGATACGGGTGTTATGTTTTCCTCCCCAGGCCCTCAGTCACTTTTTAACTGTTAAAGGCTACAAAGTGGTCTTAGCTTTGTTTGGGGAACTAACAGAAAGATTTGAGGCCACTTTTCTGTGGAGTAACACAGAGAGAAAGAAGGGCAATTGCCTAGTAAGAGGTAAGAAGCACAGAAGACATGTATTTGTGGAATCTGAGAGTTCAGGATGGGATGTCTGATAAGAGACAGATGAGTTCCACCAGTCTTCCAGGATGGTGAAGGTTAGTTCCAAGCTGGTTAGGTGGGGTGAGGTGGGTTCAGGAATTTGGGAACATTGAGCTCATCTACCTGTTAAGAATTAAACTGATGTTAAAAAAAAAAAAAATGGTTAGCACTGGGAACTTGGGGGCTGGACAGTGACAACAGGAGCAGTGTGGTATGGGGGTGGAGGAGTGGTCAGCTGGTGATGCTCACTCTGTGATTGAAAAAAATTATTTTAAAGTGATTTCATGCTGATGGGAGAAGAACATCTGTGAAAGTAGAAGGTCCTAAAGGCATTTTTCTCTAGTGTGAAACCCAGGATGTAGTATGAGTGTCCAATCCAGGTGGATAAGAAGCCCTGTGAGTCTGTGAAGTGCTTTCCTTGGTCACTGGATTCACGGCCCTAAAATCTCAAAACATGGCCTATTTTGTTTCTTTTTCTTCTCTTCATTTTTTTTCTGACTCTTTACATCTTTCCTCAAACTGGATGAGAATTTATTTAATAATAAAAATAAGTAAAACACAAAAAAGAGACCATTCAGAACTTCCCACCAGGGATTAGGAATAATTGTAAATGTTGTCAGATGGTTACTAATGACTCAGTAAATCCTTGCATATAGTTTGGTTTGCCACAAACCCAGCCCTAGTTCCCTTCCAGACAGATCTGATATTGAACACCCTTTGCCATCAGTGTAGGTAGGTACATACCCGGAGTGTCTTGCCCAAGCTATGTAAATTCTTTGGTGGGGTGGAACATCTGAGCCCTCAGGATGGCAGAGCTTTCAGGAGACTCTAAAATGTTGACTAACTTCCATTAAGCAGGGAGCTTAGAAATGGGGCTATGGAACCTGGGCCAAGGAAAAACAGTCAGTCTTTGCATGTCTGCTAAGTAGAAGATTCTCTGTTAGCTGCAGAAATCTTGCTCTCATGCAACTTAAAATAGGACTTCAAATGTATATAAAAAACTCTAACAAAAGTTTTCTTACTCATCTCCATCTCTTCGGTCTCTGCATTTTGGAGCACCATCTCAGGCTCTGTGTCTCTTTATCTGCGCTACTTCACCTACTGCCTTTCTTAGTGTTCTCCTTCCGTCTCATGGCTTTACACGTATTTAGATTGAGGACTCCCAATTTCTCTCTCCAGCCCATACCTCTGCTTTGAAATCCTAGACTCAAGTATGTACATTCCTACCTGTCACCTTCTCTTGAATGACTAGTAGTTTACCGTAAATGTAACATGTCCAAAACTTGCTTTCCCCTGTAAACCTTTCTCTCACGGTTTCCAAATCCCTCCAGTTGCTCAGGCCAAAAATATTAGAGTCATTCCTGACTCCACTTTTACATACCACGGCATTTTTGTCATCAATTCCTGCCTGCTGTACCTTCATTATACATCTAGAATCCAGCTCCATTGCTCCCACACAGGGCCAGGCCACCATCGTCTCTCACTTGGATTGTCCCAGTAGCCACTTATCTTCTCTCCTTTTGCTTCCTCTATGCCCGGTCTGTTCTTGTTATAGCAGCACCAATGATGTTGTTAAAACATCACATCAGATCTTGTTCCTCCTCTGCTCAAAATCCTCCAGTCACTTTTCCATCTCAGATTAAAAGCACCCTGTAGCTACCAGTTAACTGTTGGTCCTGATACCTTATTCTTCTCTCCGTTCCTTTCTCTTGCTTTCTTGCTTTCCCTTGAACACAGTGGTGTACTTGGCTGCTTACTTAGGCTGAGATGGTCTCGGTCTCGCAGATAACCACGACTTGCTCCTTCACTTTTTCAAGTGTTTGCAGAAAAGTCTCCTTCTCAATGAGCTATCTTCTGATCGTAATATTTAAAATTAGCCCCTACATCTTCTCAGCAATACCTGTACCCCTGCTTTGCCTTAGTTTTCTCAAAAATATTTATGACCAATAGATGGATGGACACTCACAGTTGTCTCTGTGTGTGTGTGTCTGTCTGTCCCTCTCCTATAGAGTGAAGAATCCAGGAGGATAGGGAATTTTGTTCGCTGCTATATCCTCAACACCTAGAAAGATGTTTGACTTATTTTAGGTGATTGATAAATAGATTGAATTAATGAATAAAGATTCCAAAAAGTAAATGTACTACAAGGAGAAGCAAAATATTGCGTCTCAGCCTTTGGGCTAAGATCAGGTGTGAAGAGGAGAAGCAAAATAACCTAAAAGTAATGCTAGGTTTATATCCTAAAGGGTGTGTAGTGTGTACTATTTGATTATATATTTTAAAAAGTAAAGATAAAAATACATTTTTTTAAAAAAGCAAAATATATTTGTTTCAATGATAAAGCAGTTTTAAATTAAATCAAAAATTCAAATTAGGGCATGTAGAAACCACTTCAAAGCATACTCTTACAGGAATGTAACTAAAAAAGGAAAGAAATAAAAGTTGGGTTTGTAAAAGCATCATCTTAGCTGAAAGCCAGTGCCCATGTGGAAAATCAGTAAGACGAAAGGAGATACAGAATCTTGTTTTTCTCCTGTGCCTCTTGTATTGGAAGAGAAATCGTCTACTTCAATTTGATCTTTGTTCTTTTCGGGGAAAGAAAAGTCAAATTGTTTTTAGTTTTCTCTGTATCAGGATAAACGTTAATTAAAGCATCACTTGGTTGCATTTGATGAGATGGCTTCTTAATTTCATGTATTAGGTCCTGGTAAACTTCTGAATCATGAGAAATTATGTTTAACATACAGCATCCTTATTTTTATAGATCTCATTCTAATTATTTGCAGAATTAATAATACTTATATTATTTCTAATACAGACATGTTCCTTCTGAGCATTCCTCTTGAGCATTTCAGGAACTAGTTCCTCTTGAGCATTTCAGGAACTAGTAAAAGAAAATTTTACAAAATAGCACCAACAAGCATCTTCAGCTTTTTATTTTTGCTGCCATCATAGATAATCATCATTATTACATAAAAGAAGGGACACTTTAACATTTAAAAATAGGAAAGAATTTTAGAATAACAAGTTTTATTGTCCTTATTTCTATCATTTTACCATAAACTTCAGATTATGCTGCCACTGGTCTACAGTCCAGAATTTGGGAATGGTTGATCTATAATATAATTCACATTTAAGAATAGTGTACTGAATATAATAGAAATTTAACTAGGATGCTTAAAAAGGAATACATAGTAAATATAGTGATCACAGGAGGCCTTGGGGTACATTATCAGGTTACCAAAGTAATAGCTACTCAAAAATTTTTAAGGAAAAGCTTAAAATAGTTTCAGATAAGCATAGTTAAGAAATTAACCTTGGTATTCTTTTAATATCCCCATATTTTTATTGTATAATAAGAGTTAACCTTTATTGAGTGTTTATTATTTACCAAGCACTGTGCTAAGCATTTCTTACATGGATTATCTAATTTAATTCTAATAACCCTATGAGGTAGATAATATTACTATTGAAATTAATTTGGTTGAATGCATTTTTTCCATGTGAGGTAATTAACATCACAGATTATAAATCTTGGATGACAATGTAAATGTTATGGCAGCATTTTAATAAAACTGAACAAAATGAATGAGGATTAAGAGCATTTCAAATACGAAGAAAGCTTGCTGCAGCTGTGGCACTGTTATGTTTGCCCCCTTCCACCCAGCCAGACTTCCAACCTTTTCCATTATGATTGAAACTCATTCAGTAATCATTCATTTATGAATAATTAATATGGACAAGACAGGATTTTAGGTATTGAGGGATTTAAATATATATGTTAGATGAGGTTTCTGTTTTCAAGTTTACGATAATCTAGTTGCACAGAGAAGACATACTCATCAAGAAAAGCTTATGGTTTTAAGCCAGATTATGTCAGATAAAACAAACGATTGCCTGAGGGCCAAATCCAGGTACTAACTGTTTTTGTACAGCCCATGAGCTAAACACATGAGCCCAACACATGAGCCCATGTGTTATAAAATTTGTAAAACAAAAAGCAACAAGGAAGAATAGGTGACAAAGACTGTATGACCCTTAATACCTAAAATATGTACTCTCTGGTCCTTTAGAGAAACAATTTATCAACCCCTCTTCTATAAAATAAGTCGAATTAGGAAGAGACTGTGTCTAAAGTATGTTTGGTGGACTAGTGTGGCCTGGGAGGACCCCATAGAGATGCTAGCGTTTGTATTGCACCGTAATTCAAATGGGCAGAGAAAGGAGTAGGATCTGCGAAGGTGGGTGAGGTGCTAATTCTGCAGTATGATTATCTGAATACTTGGTTGGGCATTGTTGGTTATGTTTCTTTGGGAAAGTTTTTGTTCTTTTGATTGTTAGATGTTTACTTAATTGTGTCTTCTGTCCTTTAATGTTTCATACTTTCCCCTTCTATAAAATCATTGACATCCATATCGTTCCATTATTTAGGGCCTCCTATAATATGATCTTAACCTGTCTTTCTAACCTTGTCTGCCACTAGTGCACACAATAACATGGAGAAGGAAATTGTGTATGTATATTAAATACCGATACTAAAAAAAGAATAGTTTTATCAGAAGGACAATAAGACAATGCAAAGATCCTGTAGAGCAGGGGTTAGCAAACTATTTCTGTAAAGAGCCAAATAGTAAATATTTTTGATTTTGCAGGCCAACTATTCAGCTCTGCTGTTATAACAGGAAAGCAACCATAGATGTATGTAAATATGTAAATGAGTGAACGTAGATGGGCTCCAGTAAAACTTTATTTACCAAAATCAGGTAGCTAAACAAATTTAGCCCACAGACCATATAGTTTGCCTGTCCCTGTGATACAGTATTTCTTGGTACTTAGAAGTACTTCAAATGTCAATAGTATTGATTTTCTTTTTAAATTTACTTTTTAAAAATTGTTGAAAAATTAATGTACGTAGTAAAAAATTGAACAGTACAAAAGGGTTTATGGTGAAAAATCATTCAGCCATAAACTCTACTTTCCTTGTTTTCCTCTCCCTACTCTATGTATGTAAGAACACACACACACACACACACACACACACATATACACATACACATTCTTGGTAATAAAATGTGAATACACACATGGACATACTACCTTGTTAATAATACACATAGTAGTGTATTATACACACTGTTTTGTATGTTAATTCTTTCGGTTTTTTCCATGTCACTAAGACCTATGCCTCTGCCTCAACTTTTTTAAAGAAGTCACAGGATTTGGGTCATTTTGCATTTCATCCTCAGAAGGAGTAAAGAAGTTTGTCTGTCTTCCTATCCCACATTTCCAAATTAAAGGCAAAATGTTTTCTCAATATCAAGGCTGAATTTATCTCACATCCTGTTTCAAGGTTGTTCTCCTGATTTAATAATCATGGGAGCTGAGTAGGAATAAAGAATCCCCTATGATGGGAAGGAGGAGGAAAGGACACAAGTATTCATAATGTAAAGAGTTTCTCATCATTCACCAACTTGTGATTTATTCCCTGTAGCACCTACAACAGTCCAGATATATAACAGGCATATCATATTGAATAAAGTTGTTGACATGAATTAAATCTGTTACTTTCAGTTGCCTGGACCTGGAGCAGTGTTCTCTTAAGGTATTGGAGCCTGAAGGGAGCCCAAGCCTGTGTTTACTGAAGCTAATGGGTGAAAAAGGTTGTACAGTCACGGAACTGAGTGACTTCCTGCAGGCTATGGAACACACTGAAGTTCTTCAGCTTCTCAGCCCCCCAGGTAGGTTTTTCCCTTAGGAATCTTCCCTAGGAGGTAGTCAAACTTAAAAGGAAAATGTCTCATTTGACCAGATGAAATGTGTTGAATATTTTTGGAAGTGGTAAATGTTTAGAGCCTTATTTTCTTTCCCAGGTTGAGGCTAAAGATCACATAAAAAGCAAATATAATGTGTGAATATCAATTGGATTATGGTTCAAAAAACCAGCTATAGGAGATATTTTTGAGACAGTTGGAAAAATTTGAATATAACCTACATATTTGATATTAAGGAATTATCATGTGGTAATGATGTTGTAGGTCTATAGACAAATGTCCTTTATTCCAAGGAGATGCATGTTAAAGTATTTAGGGGTAAGATTTCTATAACATACATTGGAATAGTGCAGCCAAAAAAATGAACATATTTATTTCTATGTATGTATGTAGATGGATGAGATAAAGCAAGTGTGACAAATGTTTATTGCTTAAATGTTTTGTTGACATGATGCTTTTGAATGTTGATTAACTCAACTATGTGAGTTTTTCTGAATATACCAATACGGAGCGAGGCTTCTCACCTCCCAGACCAGGTGAGGAATAGGAAACAGTCCCTCCTCTCCACAGCTGCAGATAGAGCTGGGCAGCTGCAGTGGTGTTGGACAGGAGGGACGTGCCATCAGAGTTGCCTGATGGCAGCAGCACTGCAGGCCTCCTTTCCAAGAGGTCCATTTGGCCATTATTTGTCCCACTGGAAGCAAAGGGGCTCAGCGGGCTTGAAAGGGCCATGGACTATGGACCTGATGGTCTCTATTTTACGTGGTTTTGATGTATGCCGTTTCTATAGCCAGCTTTTGTTAAGGTTAATTTTTAAGTTAACGTGAGAAATTTAAAACTATAATTTAGATCTTTTGACTTTATTAGTTCTGGGATTGGGGAATTAGGGACACATGGTATATAGTGGTGTGCTGTCAATTACATGTACCAGAAACCCCAACTTAATGTACCATAATAAAGGGAATATATTTCTTTTTCTAATTGATAAGCCTAGAAGCAGGTTGTGCCTCAAGAAAGGCAGGGTGCCCTGCTTCCAAGGAGTTGGGTGTGATTTTGCCTTTACTCTTCCTTTCTTGTTGGCATTGCCTTCCTTCTAAAGACGGACTCTCCACATAGTCCAAGATGTCTGCTAGCTGTTCCTGGGTTCATTCTTCCTTCTCCCAGCAAAGCCCAGAAGTTTCACTCTAGTTAACCTGTTTTGGTCACATGTGTTTCCCTAAACCTGTCACTGTGGCCAAGGAGATGGAATGTGCTGACTTGTCTGGCTTAAAGCCAGGAGTGAAGTTGGGTTCAGTAAGCTTCCCAGGAATCACATGGATCACCAAATAAAATTGGGCCTGTTGGACCAGGTGCAATGGCTCACGCCTGTTATCCCAGCAACTTGGGAGGCTAAGGTAGGAGATCACTTGAGGCCAGGAGTTCGAGACTAGTCTGGGCAACATAGTGAGACACTGTCTCTAAAAACATAGGCCATCACACCTATAATCCTAGCACTCTGGGAGGCCAAGGTGGGAGGATCACTTGAGCTCAGGAGTTTGAGGTTTCAGTGAGCTATGATGACGCCACAGCACTCTACTCAGGGCAACAGAGTGAGACTCTGTCTAAATAAATAAATAAATTCTAATGTTTTCTCTCCTTTCTGCAGTAATGCCATTTTGTAGGAGAACGTTAGTTATTCTTCCACAGGAAGTCTGATGATTTTTCTATGATTGTCCTTACAGAGAGATGTCTGATTTGGATTATACTGTGACCTTCTGAACAAGCCTTTCAGGTCTAAATGTAGGGAGAAAGGGAAACTTTAGATTTATTTCAACTAAAGGAGAAGCTTTAGTCTTATTTTACCATATTCTGTTCCAGGTGTTTGTGGAACAATAGCCAGAGGTAGCTGTAAGAGATAACTGTAATATGAAGTTTCTCTGTTTTTTGGGAAACTGACCAAGTGACCTTCATATGTTTGAGGTCTGGTAGCACAGAAGTTGCTAGGGCAGCGTCCCCTCGTCTCTAACTGAGACAATTTCTGTGACGTGGAGGCAGCTTCGGTGGGCCCTCACCATGAAGTCTAAGATGGGTGGGCACTCACCCTGAAATTCTTGCTCTCTGGGCTCTGGCGCCCAATAAGTTTTCTGAAGGAGCCTCGTAGGATTGAGGTTTACCCTCTTCTGCTTTCTCCCATTGGGCACTTCCCACAGCACAGGGGTCGGCCAGCTCGTCCCTCAGCCTGGCCTTGCTTGAACTGTGTTAGAGAAATGGCTTCTACTTTTATGTGTGGATGTCGTTCATCCCCATTTCCCAGTGCTAATAAATTGTGCCCCTGTTTTCATTCCTTTGGTCATCTCAGTGGGAATCAGAGAGGGGGTTAAATGAGTGTGCTGAAATTGTTTTTAACCAGGGGTCTGTAATGATCCTTTTAGACCTTCCTTTTATTTTTTTTCTCAAATCCCTTGTAGCACACTCATTGTTACATTTCTGATATCCATTTTTTAAAATTATTTTTATTGTCTCTAAAATAAATGCAAGGGATTGTTGAATATTATTTTTTAGTTTCTAAAATACCTTCACATTTTATCTCACAATTCTGTGAAGAGACAGAACAGTACTATTATGAACGTTTAAATTTTACTAGAAAACATTTATATGGAAAATGAGATTTCTAAAAGTTATCATTTGACCAAAGTCACAGTTAGTTATTGAGAAAGGTAGGATTAAAAGCCAGGCCTACTGACCCTGACTTGAACTCAGTGCCATTTCCATGATGCTCAGGCAGTTCCACGTTATTTGAGAAACTTAGTTATAGTGTTGCCTCAGTTGCCTCTTTGACCAATGGACTTCAATTATTTCTTCCTGCTAAGTTAAAAAGTTTTCAAATACTGTATCTTATTTATAAGGGACTTTTCTTATTTCATGAACATCAGGAAATTATTATCCCCGAGAGGAAAATATCAAGAAGTAAAAAGAGACCAAGATGGGGCCGGGCGTGGTGGCTCACGCCTATAATCCTAGCACTTTGGGAGGCCGAGGCGGGCGGATTGCTCAAGGTCAGGAGTTTGAAACCAGCCTGAGCGAGACCCTGTCTCTACCAAAAATAGAAATAAATTAATTGACCAACTAAAAATATATATACAAAAAATTAGCCGGGCATGGTGGTGCATGCCTGTAGTCCCAGCTACTCGGGAGGCTGAGGCAGTAGGATCGCTGAGCCCCAGAGATTGAGGTTGCTGTGAGCCAGGCTGACGCCACGGCACTCACTCTAGCTCGGGCAACAGAGTGAGACTCTGTCTCAAAAAAAAAAAGAGACCAAGATAGTATGGATGGGAATGAACATAAGGAAGAAGTAGGTAGGGGAAGGGTTGGTAAGTGAGGCCTGAGAGAATGTGCTTCTCGGCATGGAGTGTTGGGGTGGGGGTGCCTCGAGGGCATGTTATGTGGGATGTGTGCGGGATGTTATGTGGGAGCCACAGTAGATACAGATGTAAATTGACTTGTAAGAGGGACATATGTGGACATACCTTGTATAATGTTGTAGGATGAACATGTGGACATTCTTAGGTTTTGTAATGGAGGAGATAATTGGAGGAAGAGGAATAATACTCTGGCATGCGGTGGCGTGCATAGGTATTTTTCAGTAATAGCTTAGAAAATTGCAGAGTAACTTTGGGGAAGAGTTACAGATGGAAGCTGATGAAAAAAAATTTTGGTTTGTGACCTCCCAAAGTAGATGCACTTCAGTGTATGCAGTAGATCTGTTTCTGGAAAAGGTGTTTGTAAATTGCATCAATATTTAAGTGCATTATGAGAGAGTATAATGAGAGCCTGTGATGACTACTTTTTGTCAAGTCAAGAATTATTCTAATTTACCTTTTTTTGTAATTCCAGCAGCGTTTTAATTTTGTTTCATTGCTTAGTATCGTGTCTGTGTGTGTGTGTGTGTGTGTGTGTGTGTATTGAAAGCACAATCCTTAGTCCCGTCGTACCTAATCACATTCTCCCAGGCTTACAGGAAATCAAGTAACCTCTCTGACTTCTTTGCAGATGTTATCTGAAAAATATGCTCATTTGCCAGGAAGCTGTGCATTCACCATTTAAAATAGAACTTTCGTTTGTGTACCTTGGGTACATCCTACATAGCACTGTGCCATAATCTTTCCTTACCTTTGTTTAGTACCTTCTGACTAGCGGGTGCTGCATTAGGGTGGTTAAGGGTTGACCATGGGTCCCTGCGCACAAGGCTATGTGGGAGGAAGGAAATATGTGTGGTTAAAACATGGGAGGTATTGTGACTTCTTTTCTTTACTACTCAGCAGGGGTGGTTTCCAAATCACAGTTTGACTGTCAATTCTTAGTCTTTGAAGCAATAAGTAATAAATATATATATTTACTTGCTTATTGAAGACTAGACTCCTAAAGTTGGTGATACAGGACAGACTTACAAATTGAGTTTGAATGTACATTAAAAGTCATTTAGTCTTGTGTCCCACATAAAGGAAAGATACTGTTTAGAACCTGGCCATGTGATCCTCTTCCAGCATTCATTCATTTCTTTGTAAGACACTCTAGGGGAGAAAGCCTTTTCATTTTCATCCTTCTTGTCTCTGTGTATAATGGCAGAGAATATTTGCCCTGGTAAATTTACAAGCTGTGTCATAGTGCAAGATTGTCCCCTGCCTGATATACTCCGTTCGGTAAGATAGGTTTTTTGTGGCTGAAGGTGTGATTACCAGGGAGATACTCTGAGAGTCACTGAGGTAGCAAAACATAAGAATTTTAAAACCAAGAAAACCTAGGTTTGCATCCTGTTTCTGCCATTTTACAATGTAAAAAAAATTACTCTTAGGTTAAATTTTCCCCAGGTAGTTTGGGTGACCTTCTGCAAATTACTTAACTTTTTTTTATTATAACTTAGATCTGATTAATCTGATCTACCTTGTATGGATATTTCAAAGGTCAGTGATAAAGTTGTCAGTAAGTTG